GGTGCTGAGGAGCACAGGGGCTGGGGGCAGAATTGGGGAGCACTGTCGGGGGCGTGCTCAGGGGTGGTGGAGGGTTGGGGTTCGCTGAGGAGGAAGAAGTGCACTGGGGAACTGAGCCTTGAAGTGGGTGTACTGGGGAGAATGGGAGTGGAGAGGTCCCCTCAGTGAGGGGATTACTGGGGAGCAGTAGGAGGAGAGGAGTGTCTGAGGATAACACTGTGCAGGGGGAGATGATGGGAGTGGTGTTGTGGGGATAGTGCGACTCTAATACTTGGGGAGTATGCCAAGGTGATGGTGGGGAAAATGGTGCCTGAGGCTTTGTCAGTGTGTATCATTAAAGTGAGGTTCCTTGATACATCTGGAAGGTATGTCTGGGAAGAATTGAGAAATGGGGTTTGCAAGGAGGGGCTGACGTACTTAGAATGGGCTGATAGGTTGAAGAAGAACTGCAAATTGAGGAGAAAAAAGATGAAGGTAGTTCTTTTGGGGAATGAGCCAGGCTGTGAGAACCTCAAGTTAGAACTGTTGTGTTCTTGCTTGTCACAGTTGACCAGTGGATAAGAAAGCACCATTTTTCCACCGTGCTACAACATCCCAACCCCACCTGATTTTGCAAAAGCAGGTGTCTGACCATCCTATAGGCATGGCTCACTTGAGAGAATTTGCCAGCCAGGTAAGTGGCAATTAAAAATTTCTTGTAAATTCTTGTTTCAAGAGCAAACATAAGACTGTTTGCTTTTCAAATGAGTTTAAAACAAATCACCAGAAAATAACTTATTGCACTCATCTCGGCTTACTTCTGTTAGCTGATGGATTTATGTCTTACTCCGTGGTGGTTTTTGGGCTGACAGAATTAGGTTGCTAGCCCTGTAGAAAGGGAATTCTTTACCCAGTGTGGTGCCTTTCTCTGAGGTTAACTTTACTCTTCTTAGGGAGACAGGAATCATTGGCTCTCTGAGTATTTTTGGGAGGGGAAGTCTAGAAATGGGAACAGAAAAGCTGTGTGTGCAGGCTGTGCCAGACATACCTTACTGTGAAGTGTTTTTAACAGCAGCCCAAGAAGAATGGTGCTTGTAACCTTAATGCCTAAGAGGTGGTAATATTTGATACTGAACATTTAACTGTTCTGAGACCTGTCAGCCTCAGCGGATGTGGTTAAATCCTGTTGTTGTGATGATATTTTCATAAGAGGAATGTGGAAAGATGATGTCATGACTTGGGACTAAAAGCTAAACCACATTAGTAGTATTGGCTTGAATCTTCTTTCTTCTGAATGTGGTTATGGGATGTGTTTGATTATTGGCAGATGTCAGTACTGAATGTAGGTAAACCATGTTTTGTGAGAATTCTTGGCATTTTTCTGTTCTGCTCCTAGGTGTAAAATTATAATACTAAAAGCTTTAGTGGTTTGAGATTATGCTTTCTCCAAGCCTTTTTGGATTCAAAATTGATTTGCAATGCATCTTGGTTTGCATGCTGTCTTTCACATAAACTGTTTCCCCAAAGTGTGTATGGAATTAGGTGCATATAAAGTGCCTAAGTGAGTCACGGTAGAGAGAGAGAAATGAAAGGAATAGGAAAGGATACTGTCTGGTTAGCGCTGAGAGCTGGGTTCTGTAGCTACAGAGGAGGTTGCTCTCAAGATTTTTTTGTACACAACATTCTCTAATGAAGCTTATTAGAATTCCAGTGGTCTCATCTCTTAATTTATTATGCAAATGTGAGGCATTCTCAGATTCTGTCATCCCATGACTCTCTGTCTGGTCCTGGAATAGAAGAGCAGTCTGTGTTGTCCAGTCCTCAGGTCTCTCCAGGATTCCTTGATGGGACCTTATAATCTGTGTAGCTGAGGCTTGGTGGAAGGGCAGTAGGAATTGGCCTGCACACTATAGTTTAGGGAGTGGTGGGAGGTGCTGTGAAAATTGAGAGACTAAGACTTGGGTTTGGATCTCAGAGGCTTGACTTGTCTTTGATTCCCAGTTCTGTTGCTGATGTGCAGGGTTATCTTAGGCAAATCCCCTAGTTCCTTTATTTTGGTGCCTCCATTTCTCTGCCTCATCTAGTTGGTTCTCTCTCTTTTCTTGGCTACGCTTTGCTGTGTATGTACAGCACAGTGGGCCTCCACTCTTTGTTGGGAGCTCTATCTGCTAGATGATGTATTTGCATTACAGTGTTTAAAGCTCTGATCCAAGCTCTGTTTCTAGTTTTGTTGTTCCTTATATGACCTTGAAGAAGCAGCTCAAGTTCCCTGGCTAAGTAACGCTTCAGGCAGGAGAATACTATCTGTGAAGCAAGTTGGTAGTCTCGGACAAACGTGTGTGTTTCAGTGTTGAACATAAACTTCTCTCTTGTCTACACTCCAGAAGTTCAAAACTGTCTTAGGTTTAGCAGTTGAAAAGAGCTGTATGCAGATTTCATATAGACAGGGAAGCTTTCCAGTGTTTCCAGATACAAATCTGATCTCCCCAAAGAAAATATAGTGCCTACTGCAGACATCTCTGTTGGTGGCCCAGAGGTTAGAGTGTAACATGTAATGTGGGTAAATGCTGGATGGGAAGCTGGGGAGAAGAAGCGGCAATGAAGGAAAGAAGGTTGGTATCTGAGGTTTATTAAAGCCAAATTCCTCCTTCCACTGTGTTTGGCAGAGGAAAATGATGTTTGTTTGGCTGGTTGGAAGTGCTCTAGTCAGAAGTAACATTACATGCTGCTGTAGTTCCATATAAACCGTTGGAGGCTGCCAAATTCCCAGTCACCTTCAGCTCCTAAAATCTTGTGGCCTTGACAATCTATTTCTATTGCAGACTTCTCCCATGTAGAACAGCCATTCTGATCCTGACCTGCCCCAGACCAAGGAACTCTCACTTCCAAAAGGGTTTAAGTACCTCTCGGGGTTTTATGCAGCAGGTGCAGGTGTGACTCTTGCTCACAATGCTGAATATGACTCTTTTGAGAGTGAGTTCCAGCCGACACAACCCAGAGAGAAGACCTTGAGCTGGTCCAAAGGGTAGTTGCTTCTGTTCACCGTATGCAGCTTATCTTTCCAGGTAGTAGCTTTGCAATTAGGGTGCTCCTCTGGTCTGCTCTCCAAGGCCATGGATATCACATCTCTGCAGCTGGAGGTGGCAGAGCTGCCAAACCCGTTCTTTCCTCACGAAGCAGCTGGAGTTACTGCCAGGCTTGTCTCATAACACACTGCAGTTCTTAATTCCTGATGTCTGCAGTGAGTTGCTCTGTTTTAAAACATGGCATTATCAGTTGCAATGGCAAACACTCCCACACCTGTCATGACAGAGCATCCTTCTTTTCTGTGCTGCGAGATGAGATCCTGGAGGGCAGAAGTGGAGTAGATTGTCCTAGTCCCCCTCAGACTTGTTCCCTGCACGTACAACCAGGGTAGTGCTTTGTGTACTCTGCCCCCAAAGCCTGTTCCTGCCTGACTGAGCCATCCCTAGTGTCTGACTGCTGTCAGTGGGGAGAAACAGCATAAGGCTCTTTGCTCCAGCATTGCTGTGTAATTAACATTCAGTGAAGCAACATGGTATGCTGAGTTGACCTTAAAGTCCCTTAAAGGCTTTCTGCCTTGTAGTAGAAGGAGGAGCAGCAGCTGGTCAGCTAGCTTTTCAGACCCTGGCCTGGAGCTCAGTTTTGCATCCCTGGTGGGTTCTGTGGGTGTGGAAGAAAATGAAAGATCCCAAGCTGGTGAGCAGCTGCAGAGTTGACAGGTGCTAATAAGGTTCTTTGGGTTATCTATGCTCATTTAGGCAGGTGGAAAATATTTCATCTGGATTCTGTTACTTTCTACTAATGAAGATTTTCGGGTGTGTTTGTAGCTATGCAGCTCCAGAACATGGCTTTGCAGCCAGCTAGTTCTCTGACAACAGGATTGGCACTGAGATCAATCTGTATTTAGAAAAGAGACACACCAGACTTGTTATACCGCTCGTTTCAGTCCTCTGCAGGTACAGATTTACTGGGGTAGCGGAGAGTCAGGCAACACAGAATGTGTTCTTCTCCTCCTCTGCACCCTGAGTTTGAGCCCCCCTGAGTGTGGCTGTGTGCTTCTCTTCTGAGGGAGCAGTGGGCTTGTGTAGCTCTTCATTCCTGGCATAACTGCGTTTGTTCTGCTGTCTGGTGAGTGCCAAGGCTCATGTGCCCGTTCATCTGAACATTTGCTCATCAGCTGCAAGTTGCCATGTGGCAGCTCCAACAGGAACTTTTTTAAAGGACTAGAGCTTCTGAGCAGTTGTCCTGCAGGCTAGCATAATTTTATCTATCTTAGTTTGTCACAGGAATTCAGAATTGCTTCCAATGCCACCTGGCAATATCTTCTGTGGTGTCCACAATGATAGTTCACAAGGTTTCCACTGGGCAGGCATTGCCTGCTTGAATTAGGGATGGGCCTGTTTCCTCCTCCGTGTTTACAGAGAGTGAAGAAATTTGTTAGCAGACTCTGATCCTGCAGCAGGCGTCTGGGAGGCTGTAACCATGGCTGGAATGACTCTCTACCACTTTGCCCCATACTCACTCACTAGGTTCTGGCTGTTGCTGGATATGACTTGTGTGATTTTAGCAACTCTGTCCAGGGATGCATGTCCTCAGACCCTCTGTAGTCATTCTCTTGCCCTGTCACCTGAGAGATCTGAAGCATTTCCAGATCAGTTTTGAAGTGACAGGTACTGGGAAGGTAAATCTAGTACCTACAAATGAAGTTTCCTGTTCCAGCCTAATGTGGTGGGCCTGTCTCTTCTGCCCATCACAATTGTATGGTTTTCCTGAGTCCCTTGGGCAAAGTTTGTCAGGAAGGTTTGTCTCCTTCACCGCTCCTACTGAATTCCTTTGTTCTTCAGAAAATGGGATAAGTGGACATCAAAGTATGGAAGCTTGTTTATCAAGCTGTCTGTGATTACAGACCCAATACATAAAATGGTGGCTGTCCCAAAAGCTGCCTGCAGTAGCTGGTGCTCTTATGTTTAATATCCTGTTCTTGAAGAATCACTCCTGATTCTTTGATGTTCCATGCCAGGCTGAGGAGGGGAGCAGTAACTTACACCTTGCCATTTCTTTTCTCATGGAAAAATTACTTAACATGGGAGGGGAGGAAGGATTTCTTGCAGGGTTGCTTCCCTGCAGGATTAACGTGGATAGTGTTTCCTTTACCAGCTGGGCCAGGTGCTTCTAGGAGATGCTTCTAGGAGAACACCCTCTCCCTGGAAGTGTTCCAGGCCAGGTTGGATAAGGCTTTGAGCAACCTGGACTAGTGGAAGGTGTCCCTGCTGATGGCAGGGGGGTTGGAACTGGATGAGCTTTCAGGTCCCTTCCAACCCAAACCAGTCTGTGATTCTGTGATCCTTTTTCTCTCCCTTCTCGCTGCTGTATGGAGTGGCTGATGTGGTGAGTGGCATTTTTACAGTGTGGTAGGTGACTGTGCAAGGTAACATCTTGGCTACCTTGCTGCCCCTTCCTGTAAGTTGGTCAAGAGGTGGAAACTGCTCCTGACCTCTTGGGAGCCTGTACTAACCAGACTGTTCTCCCTGCGCTGCAGTTGTCATTCTTGTGGTGTCTCCTGGCATTTCTCAAGCTCAAATCCTCTTCCTTTCCCCCGCCTCCCTCTCTCCAGTCCTTGTCATGTATCTCCAGTTCCTTTCATCTCTGCATATCCCCTCCAGTCTATTTCCAGTGCATTTGTTCAAAGTGCAGCCTGTTTGGGTGTTGCCATGGATGCACAAGGATACTTGGTTATCCTTCTGTATCTTGGACTGGAATGCACGTGGAAATCCTGTTGAGCGAGCTGACTGTAGAGCTCACTCTGGGCCTGGCTTACTCCATATGGTGATGATGCACTGTGCACAGAAGGCAAACAACCTGGAATGACTGGCTGGCTTAATCATTAAGCAGCACGTAGGGCTGCTCAGTGATGGCCTGCTGCTAGAACCTGGTTTTAGATGGAAACATGCAGCTGCCCTGTTCTCAGATAAAATCTCTGCCAGCTCAAGGCCCTTGCAAGGGAGTGGTCCATCTGGGTGACATGTTGGAGGTGAGACTGAGATGTTCTGGGTGTGGAAGACTCACTGTAATGGCTTGGCTGCTTCCTGTAGTTCAGGCCATATTTTCCAGATTTTTATTTTTTTTTTTAACTAGACTTATTTTTTTAAGGCAGAAAATCTAATCACAAAGAGCCTTTTAGTAGCATGAAGCAGAGCAGGACCTCCTGGTCTGCAGCTGGGTAGAATGAAATAGCATCAGAAAATGATTCTGATTTCTTTCTTGTTCATACTCATCTTAATAAAGAGTTAACCTTGAAGCTGCTGTTAAATAGGCAGTATTTCTCCAATGATGATCGTGTTAATAGCTTCCTAGTTGATGTGCTTATCTAATGAAGGAAATGCTGTTTGTATTTGTATCTGGGCGTGCCAGCCAGAGGAGAGGCTGTACCAGAAAAGCAGGTCTGTGGATGGAGTGTCCGTTCAGCTCTTCTGTCTCCTCTGGGATAGGCAGGTGGCTGGCCTCCTTGCTGCTGACCATGCAAAAGACCTTCTGCAAACATCTGAAGAGAGCTGGGCTGGGTGCTGCCTGGAAATAAGTCTGCAGAAGATATGATAGCTAATGTGATCTGGTATTTATATTACTGCAGTATTTCAAACAAGCTGGGAATCATAGAATGATATGGGTTGGAAGGGACCTTAAAGATCATCTAGTTCCAAGGGTGCAAATCTTTCAAATCATTCCACTCTTTGAGTGCAGGAAGGCAGACTAGAGAAACATCCATGTGCACTTCCTATGGCCTCTTGCTTGTGCCCCTTTTCTCATCCAGATCTTCAAAAGGTAGCTGGTTCTGGTACACCTTGCCTACCTTTTTAGTCAAGTGTGAGCAAGTACTTACTTATGGACCTGCTTTGGCACCAATTTTGTGCCTGCAGTTGAGCAGTCCTGTCCCAAAGGAGCTGACATTTTCGGCAGAGATCCTTGCTGACATTCTCCTTCTGGGCTTCTCTCCCCTTCATCCCCCACCATGATGTGCAGGGGCAGAAAGCCCGTTTAAAAGGCATCTTCAGTTCTTCTCATCTTGGATGTGTTCTGTGTTAAGTTTTTCAGTATCTCCTTATAGAATGTGTGAGTTTCAGGTGAGTTAAACAATTCAGTAGATGCATAGGTGAGGAGGTAAGCTGTCTGGGTATGCGTGGTGCTCTGCAAGCTGCCGTGGGACTTAATTGACTTTCCCCATCTCTGCTTTCTGGTTTAGCACTCCAGGGTGGATCCTGAGGAGTTATTCACCAAGCTGGAGCGGATCGGCAAAGGCTCATTTGGTGAAGTGTATAAAGGGATCGACAACCGCACCAAGGAGGTGGTTGCTATCAAGATCATTGATCTGGAGGAGGCTGAGGATGAAATTGAGGACATTCAGCAGGAGATTACAGTGCTCAGCCAGTGTGACAGCCCCTACATCACCCGGTACTATGGCTCTTACTTGAAGGTAGGACAAAGCCATGGCAATTCTCTTGCCAGCAGTTTGGGAATGAGGTGGGTTTCTCTCTGGGTGCTGCAGCTGATGATGGCATACAGCACTGAAAGGTGTCCAATCTGTGAGTGTCCATGTGGCAGCAGGAACAGCAGTGGCTCTGCTCACTGCATTTATGTGGCCTTAATAAGAGGCTGGGCTTTAGGACTTGCAAAGCACATGGAAATGAGATGCCCAGTAGAGCGTGGTACCAGAGCAGGGCACCTCACTAGAGAAAAGATTATTTGTTGAAGAGGCTGACCTCTTCCTGGTTTGATCATTTTGGAAAGGAAATTTGTGAAATACTTTTCCAGAATGCCACAGTTTTAAGGTAGTACCACTGAGGGCTTTATGCCTCTGGAAAGAAGAGGAGTACTTTGTGATCTTGTGATCATCATTTCATCAGAACTGATGAAAAGAACAAGACCCGAGTTCTCACAGGAATGCTGATACTGCTCCCATTGAGAAAGGAATCCCCAGTGGAAGCTACTAGTCCTGATGACCAGCAGTGGCCTCTGCGTGCCGGCTGCTGGAGGTGTGTGTAACACTGGGTCTGCAGCAAACAGTTCTTCAGCTCTTTGGATCTTTATTATTCCTTACATATTTTTCAAAGGCCATAATGCATTTTCTTAGCCTTCTACTGAAAACACCAAACAGGCTGTGCTTTCATGGATCTGCTGCTTGTCTCCTACCAGGACACTGTGAACCTCCAGTCTGGAAATCTCTTCTCTTGAGGACTAAGAGAGTGTCGTGCTGATCATACACTTCAAGCTGGCAGTCCTGTTAATGAGATCAGAGACTGCAAAGCTCCCCTGTCATTGTCAAGAAGGAGATGTGCTAGATCTGTTGGAGTGATGTTAAATGGCTCCAGCCTGAGAATATGGTTGTTTCCCTGGGCTATGTAGTCTGGTGCCTGTAGGAGCACTAAGCTTGCTCAGATAAAACTGTAGACTAAGAGAAAGAAATGTACTGTGGGCAGGTCCACTGCTATAATGTCAGCAGGAAAGAGGGAGCTGGGAGCTCCCTGAAACCTCTTGAGAGCTGCAGTGTACAGCATCTCTTGGACTGTGTACAGGACTACTCATGTGTCTTGCTGCCTCTGGGGTGTTTCACTTTTCTGCCTGCTTTTGTGACTGTCTTTGCTCTTGATTTGTGCTCTTGCTTGCAGGGCACTAAGCTGTGGATAATCATGGAGTACCTAGGCGGAGGTTCAGCGCTGGATTTGGTAAGTACGTGGTAAGCTCCGAACCGTGAAAAACGTTGGCTGGAGCCTTGGTTTGTGAAATGCCCGTAAGTCAGACACTCACTTTCCACATACAATCTTTTTGACAGCTCTGTGCCTGAAGGGTAGGCAGTGCAGGACAGATGTGCTGGTTATGCATATCCCAGGACAGAGGAAATGTTTGTGCAGAGCTCAGCTGTCAAAGCACTGTTCTCCAGCATGCTCTGGTGCTTTACAATGGGAAGAGCCAGTGAACTGGAATGTGACAGCAGCCAGTTGTTTTTGAGCAGTGCCAATCCATGCTTTACTTAGTAAGAGTTCATGGTATTGTTCAGTGCTTGCATGGCATCAAGCTCAGCGGGGACCTGGTCTGTGATCAGGATTCCACGTGTTTGATCATACAAATGACATCTAACAAGTTACCTCAGATTTTAAGGGATTATAAATGCAGAATAAACACAAGGGCAAACTTCTGCTGTGCTGTATTCTGCCACAGGATTTTGCTTTTCTCCTTAGGACAATAAAGCCTGTTTTTTCTAGAGCACTAACTAAGGTCATGTAGTGGAAACTGCTGAGCCTGCATTGACTTGGAGGAAGGGTGTTGTGGGGGGGCTGTCATCAGCAGAAGTCATTGTAGTGTCAGAATCTCAGTTATTGTAGTGAGAAGGCAGGACTTGTTTAGAGGAGAACTGATGGAAAGAAGAGCAGCTTTGGTACAATACTCCGCAGCCAGAGGGTAGAAGTTGTGCAGTGGGTAAAATTTAGTTCTTGCCTGCTAGCAGAGAGACTTCAACAAGAGAATCTGTTAAGATATGTGCACCAATGTATTTCCAGGCCAAAGCAAGAAATGAGCATCCTGATCTTTGTCTGAGGAGCCTTTAACAGACTAACAGAAAATCCCCAAAGATTTTTCCATTTAATGTTGCCACATGCAAAGTCAGAATGAGCATCAGGCATATGCAGTAGGTGCTTCC